CCCGCGGTCAGGGGCGCTCACCTGCCTCCCCATGTACCTGCGGTCAGGGGACCTCTCCCTACTCATGGGGTGCAACACAGTGAACAAGCCAGGTAGGGAAGCGAAGGGGAGGGAGTTTCAGACGGGCTTTCAGGTGGACAGGGAGCTCCTGAAGAGACATCCTGTTTCCCTGAGCTTGAGTCCTGGGGAAGGCTGTGCTCTAGTAGAAGCCTGAGGTAGGCGTGCTCACCAGGAAGGCGTGCGTGGGTGATGGGCGTCTGGGCACAGCTGGTCCCGAGGTGGGGTCAGAGGTGGAAGAGGTTTGGGGGGGCTCACAGGCGAGGCCCTCCCCCGCCCTGGAGCTCCACAGCCTCTCTGGAGGGTCTGCTGGTCGGACGGGCAGGCAGCCCAGGTGCAGGCCCCTTGCCCACCCGGACCCTCCCAGCGCCTCCAGAGAGCCCGCGGCCCTCAGGGCACATGAGGGCTCGGCCCAACTCGCCCCAACACCTGGGGCCGAGCTGCTGGACGTGGGCTCCTGGTCAGTGGGGACTGCTTTGTGGCCGGGGCCGCTGGCTTGTGGCCCGGGCCGCTGGCTTGTGGCCCCCAGGGTTTACGCCCAGCACAGGCAGACCCACATAAAGATGTGCTGGGGTTGGGTGAGTAACTAGTGCCCCCCAGAACCTGCGCCAAGTTCTCTGCGCCACTCACCCGCCTTCGCCTGGCCGCCCACCACATGTCTCGGGCTGGCCTCGGGCCCCGTGTCCGGCCCCACCACAGGCCCTGGGCCTTCTGTGTCCTGCATGTTGGATAATTGGTGAGGGAAGGCTGTGAGCAACTCAGTGACACAACTGAAGATCTGACAAGCACAGTGGCAGAGAGGGGGGCCGTGGGCCCAGGGCCTAGAGAGAGACGTTCGCCTCAGGAGGGGAAGGTGCAGCCCTTCCCGGTCAGCCCCACACATGTGGGCGCAAGGGCACCTTGCTTCCGGCCAGGGAGGGGCCGGGCTGGGTCCCGCCGGCCGCGGAGGGCCTGAGCTCGTGACCCGGCTCCTTCATCCCACTCACGGGGCTCTGAGTCTCATTAGAAATTTGGGGTTCCTTTAGGAACGAGGTAACCCAGGGGCGCCGACAGACGTGAAAGCACACCAGCTTCCCGGGGGCCCCGCGCCGGCGGTGCGGGTGGCGGCTGGAATTGAGTGTGACTTACGGGCTACCCCGGCGGGTGGCTTCTGGTTTCCTTTTTCCCTGGCACCTCTGCGGCAGCGCTGCGTCAGATTGTCTCGGGGGGCGGCACAGAGGCTCCCCACGACGTGCAGACGCCGCTTCACGTCCCGCCAAAGGTCCAGCCCGGCCTTCCCCTCTGCCGGGGGTCCAGTGCACGGACGGACACTGAGCGCACAATTGGTCAGCCCCTCTCCTGCTAGGAGGCGCCTCCACGCAGCCCTGCAGGGAGGGGGTGCCCCCGCCCCACAGTGCCGCACACGCCCCCATCCCTGACACCCTCCTCCAAGCGGGCGCTTGTGATCAGCACTGTTCCTCCACGCCCCTCGTGGGCCTCTCTGAATTCTGCCCTATTTCAGGGACACACCGTGCCCACCATTTCTCTCCTTCTAGCCCTCTCTGCGGGTCTCCCCCCTCCAGTGTGACTGCAGGAGCCTCCACCTGCCCTGCCTGCTCCCCACCCCGGGGTCGGGGGGCGCCCCCGGGCCCCGCCCCCCAGCCCATGGAGGGGTGCTTTCACAGCCTAGCAGGCCAGCTCGCCGCCCTCACACGCCCCCAGCTGCCTCTGCGGAGTGAAGCCATCGCCTCTGCTGGCCTCCAGGCCTCTCACGGTGGCCCCTGGCCTACCCCCTCGGCCCCTGCGCCCTCCCACCTTGCACCACCTTGCACTGCTCACTGCTTCTCACTGTGGCTTTCAGAAAGCTTTGTGACCTCTCTCTCACTCAGCTTCCTCATCAGCCAGTGGTCTCATGATAAGACCCACGTCACCGGTGCTTCGTGAGGGTCAGTGGATGGTACCGGCCCAGGGCTTGGAAGGGGGTCCGGCTGGGCCTGGGCAATCTCACCAAGGCTGGGGGCCATTTTTACCCTTTTAATATGGACATGCAATTCACACGTCCTGCCAACAGGTGGCAGCACCACGCATTTGTTGACTTTTGTTAACTGCGTCGTTAATTTTTTGGACAGGAAAATCAAGATTATGCATTCCTTTCTCTTAAGTCAGTCTTGCTGGGTACACGGGCCATTCCTACTTCTCTGCATGGAGGGCCGGAGGGGGCCCTCAGGCTGATGTAGACTCACAGCTGCAGGCAATTCTTCTCTTGACCTCTCTGTCCACTCAGGAATAATTTGGGATGAGACACAGATGCCCCCCAGTGCTTTTCTGGGTGAAGGCTCACAAAACAAGCAACACGTTAATGAGAAGCATCTGTTCCTGATGCTGTCTGCTCAGTGTTGGAGCCACGAGGCAATTTACATGCTGAGAAAAGACATTTACTTCTTGGGGCCAAGGCCTCCCCATGGTGTAAATGCCAAGCAATGGTGAATGTTTCTAGGCTCCGGGGCAGTTCCCCGAGTTCCACGGAGTCCCTAGTCTCCCCCTGAGCGTGAAGTCTCAGCGGTGCCCGCCAGGACCACGCTGGACAGCTGCTTTCTCAACTGGGTCTAGAGCTGCGGGTGGAGGGGGGTGGGCACTGTTGAGGGGTACGTGGGGATGAAGGGCACCACGGTGGAGTGGGGCCTTGAGCGGCACCTCTTCTCTGCGGTACTTGACTTCTTAGGAAGGATGAGTGACTGTGGTGAGAAAAGCTCATCTTTGCAGGGAAGCAGAGACCAGCAGGTCCAGGGACACTCCAGGGACACTCAGTGCCAAGCGAGGGGGCGGTCGGGGCTGTTACCTTCCCTTCACAGATGAAGGGATCGAGGACAGGACGCTCAGTCGCCTTGCTGGAGGCCGCAGCACACGCAGTCTGGCTCCTGGAGCTGCCCACGCACCTCTGCCTTCTGCCGCCCTCCCCCGGCAGACCCTCCGCAGCGCCAGTGGGTGGGTGTGGCAGGGCCCAGTGCAGGGCCAGGCACGGGCCTGCACTCGACAGCAGCGTCATCAGTAGGATGGCCGAGAAGCGGGGGACTCCTGTCATGCCCACTTACGTCGTGATAAGGAACTTCTCAGTGGGGGGCCTTTGAGGGTGCCCCCTGGCTGCGCCCCGTCTCCTATCGCTTGAAGAAATTCGAAGTCGGGTGACGCCCGGCTCAGGCCCATGAGCCTCTTTGCAGAGCCCCTGTGACGCGGCCTCCCCCCGCGCAGGTTCACCAGCTCCGTGCTCTACCAGGGCCTCATCATGCACATGGGCGCCACCAGCGAGAACCTCTACCTGGACTTCCTCTACTCTGCCCTGGTGGAGTTCCCGGCCAGCGTCATCATGCTGTTCGCCATGAACCATGTGGGCCGCCTGTCGCTGCTGGCCACGTCAAACCTGGTGGCAGGGGTGGCCTGCTTCGTCATGCCCTTCACTGCGCACGGTGAGTGGCCCGTGGCCATCATCTGGGGCTGCGGAGGGCGTCCTGTGCTTTACTCTTTGATGACTCTCTGGAACAGAACAAAGACAGAGACAGCGAGTTACCAGGTCTGCACGTCGCTTTCAAAAAAGTTTAGTTGAAGGTAGAACATACGTACAGCACGCCGCTTATTGTAAGTATGCAAGCTGAAGCCTTGCCAGTGTGTGTCACTGGGTGCTGTGCCCTGAGTGATGCCGCGGGCCTGGAGAGGGGTGAGCCTGGGCCCCTCAATCGTACACGGTATAAAGCACCGTCCTCTCAGTAAAAAATAATAAGAAATGCACGCTCAGTTAAAGACATGGAGGCTGATACGCAGCAATAGCATTTATGTGGAGTCTCAGGTGTGCAGACCAGGGAGCACTGAATCAGGTTTCAAGCCAATCATGTCCTGCTGGGCCCCTTCAAAGGAAAAAGAATGGGGAGGGAGAAGGCAGAAAGACAAAAGCTGGGGCTGGTTCTAGCTTATATTTCTTGCAGTTCATTGGCATCTGGGCAACGGGCTATGGTTACTAAGGAGAGAAGAGGAAAAAAATGCCTTTTGCACAGTTCTGAGAGAAGGCTGTGTCTGCCTGGAGTCAGTTCTTGCTGATGGTCTTTTCAAAAGCCAAAAGTCGGGTGTAACGGAGCCTTGGGTGTGAGCGAGGCCGACCTGTCTGCCTCCGGGGCCCTGTGCACGTGCACTGCCCCATCTGAGGCTCGTGCTCATGAGCGGCGATGCTGGTCTTGTAATTAAAAGGCCACGGTGGTCAAGTGGACGCCAGGCCCGGTGGGCATCACCGCTCTCACAGCTGCCTGTCAGCTCGTGTCCTCGTGCCCAACTTACGGCTGAGGAAACCGGACACAGGCCAAGAGGGGCAGACACCTTCTCCCAGGCCTCCCCCTCTCCCTGGGCCCCCGCTGGCGCCTCTCAGGGCTCGGCTCACCTGTCCAGCAGAGACGGGGTGAGACAGGGCCGCCGTTCGGGCCGCTCCGGCGCTGAAGCCCAGGCCTGCCTGTGGGCGCGCAGGCCGGCTCGCCCACGCCCTCCTCTGTCTCCCCAGGTCAGCACTGGCTGAGCATCACCGCTGCCTGTGTGGGCCGAATGGGAATCACCATCGTGTTCCAGATGGTGTGCCTGGTGAACGCGGAGATCTACCCCACCTTCATCCGGTGAGTGCGGGGTCGGAGAGGGGGGGTGGTCTGGGCTGGGGCCAGGCAGCGGCAGGCACCCCAGGGCAGCTCCTCCCCCTGTGCTGAGGGGCTGGACACTGAGGTGGGGGCACCGAGGGGCTCTGGTTCTGGGGACAAGCCCCGAGCAAGGGGTCCAGCTCAGAGTAGTGGAGGCGTCACCTCGTCCTGAGTGCCGACTGGCTGCCTGGAGCCCAGCAGCCCTCAGCCCTTCCTGGCACGATCTTCTGAAAGAGCAGCTCCTGTTTGGTGGGGACACCCGGCGTCTCCACCCTAGAGAGGCTGCTTAGCTTTTCAGAGTGTTTTTGAGCTCTGTGACCCACATCTCACGTGCCAGGAGGGGAAAGAGACCTTCTGAGGTCCCACAGTTAGGAAGTGGGGTACAGAGAGCTGGTGTTCCACCTGTGACGACCGGCAGGCGTGGTGAACCGAGCAGCGAGCTTAGAAGCCAGCGTCTGGAAACCAGATTGGCGTCTCCTTACAGAATGTGAACTAGAACGCCAGCAAGGCCGTTGCAGGTAGAGCTAAGGGAAACAGTCTCTAGCCCAAGGGGGTACCCACCCCCGCCCCTCCCCCTGTTCATTGCAGCATTATTTGGCGATGTGGAAACGACCCAAGTCCATTAAAGAAGCTGTGATGTAAACACAATGGAATATTATATAGCCAGAACAAGGCAGGAAAACTGCCATTTGCAACAAGGCAGAACTGTGTGCTAAGTGAATAAGTCAGAGCTTAACAAGTCCAGTGTGATCTCACTGCTTTGTGTAACCTAAAAACACCGCAGGTCTTCCGTGCAGAGCCGGGGTGTGGTGGGGAGCTGGGTGAAGGTGCAGACTTCCAGCCAGAGCATGAGCACTCTGGGGTGAACTGTGCAGCAGAGGGACTGCAGTCAGCGACTCCTTTTCCGCGTGGCCGAGAGAGGATCCCAAATGTTCTCATCACAAGAGAAAAAGAATGTGTTGGCTATAAGTAGATGCACCCCGTCAGGTGTGGGTATTCTTCCTGGGGGCAAAATCCACTCTCGAGTGCACCATTTTGGCCCCCGTGTCACTCACGCAGGCCAGCTCACCGCGGCCAATGTAAGAACATTCTGTCCTCGGCCCCTGGGGTCACCTCCTTGCCTCAGGCAACCCCCCTCTGACTTCTCTTGCTCTAATTTTACCTTTTCCCCAGAGCGTTGCAGCTGAGAGGACACAGCCTGGTGTTTGGCCGTTTGCCCTCAGCGCCACGGGGTCACCCGGCATGGTCCGAGCCTCGAGCCTTCTGGCTGCCCCCGGGGCTCTCGGGGTGATCTGTTCACCCTGCGCCAGCTGAGGGGCACTCAGATTTGTCCCAGTGGGGAGGTTATGGCACAGGTGCTGAGAAGCTGTCGTGAGGAGGCTTCGGGTGGACGTAGGTTTTCACTGTTCCTGAGTGCAGACGAGGGGCGTGCCCCGGCGTGCGTGAGCTGCTGCGTGCCGGCAGAGAGAGTGCCTCCGCTCGCTTGCAGCCTCCAGCCCCGGGAGAGGCAGCTGTTTGACGCCCTCACCTGTGCGGGGCTCAGCAGTGTTTTGTTTTCTTTTTAAAAAGATTTATTTATTCATACAGAACTGGGGTACAGGCCAGAGATGCAGAGGGTGAGAGGGTTCACCAGAGACAGAGCGGGGAGCAGAACAGGCAGATTGACTAAGTCCACTGCTGAGGGGAGCAGCGGGCGGGTCAGGAGAGGTCTGCTGTGCTCTGTGGTCACCTCCGGGGCAGGTGGGGCTCGAATTTATGCTGCAGTGGCTTTAGCTTCTTAGTGCTGGGCTTTAACCTGCTGCGCCACCAGGGAGGGCCCTCGTTTTCTAAGACTTATTTTCTTAAAATAGTAAAAATGATGATAATAGTAAAAAAAGGAGAGATGATGTCATTTCTTTTTTCTCTTGGAAATTATGCTAAAATAATAGAAAGAATGGAGAGGGGAAACCTGTAACTACCCCCATCTCTGAAAGTAGGTCGACCTTGAAAGACAATGCATAAGAACTACAGTGCTGTCCAAGGGGACCCAGAAGATGCCCGGTGCATGCCTCTGCAGGCGAGGCTGCACAGCCAGCGCTTTCCCAAAGCCGGAAGCGCTCGTGACGGCGAAGCCCACGGCCCTCCCTGGAGTGACAGGAGAGGCCGGACGTGGGGGAGGACCTCCCTGTCCTGGCTCGCGGTGGGGTGGGGAGGGCGAGGCTCCTGGAGACCAGGTTAGTATCTGTCTGCCACCTGCCTGCCTGTCCTCGCTCGTCGTGTGTGCACGCACACGCAAGTGTCTGTGGAACAGGTATAACCCGAAGAAGATGGCTGGAAAAATGAAACACACGCCAAGAAATTAAAAACTACAAGGAAACTTCTGGGAATGCAAGTGTTTGGCTTGAAGGTGCAGCCTGTGCATCAGGGGAGACCGAGCCAGTGCGGACAGCTTCAGGACTATCCCAGTGGAGTGGCTCTCTGCCCTGAGACATGAAGGGCAGCCTCTGGACCTAGGCTGGGCCTGAAGTCTACGCCAGTCGCACGTCGGGGAGAAGGGAAGCTGCCAGAGCTCAGTGGAGCCTCAAGGACCTGCAGGGAGAAGCCTCGGCTTCTGCACCCAGGAACCCTCGCTGTCATGTGAAAACATCGATCATTTTGAAGGTTCCCTAGGAATATGGCTCCTGTGAACCTTTTTCCAAAAAAGCCATTAGAGAAAAAAATTTCAGTGAACACAGGGGTGACTGGAGGGCTGCTCCCAACGATGGGGGTGGCCACGAGGCGGGATTGGCCGCAGGACCGACAGCAAATGTCCTGAATCTGCCATAAGGAACCAAGATGGAAAGGGAGGAGAGGGGAGGGGAGGAGGGGGAGGGGAGGAGAGGCAGGGGGAGGCTGTGCTCCTTGGTGAGCTTCCTCCAGCTTGGGAGAGGATGTGGCATTAAATCCTGTTCAGGTACATAGCCGCGGAGATATATTTTGAGATATAAAGATGAATACTAAAAGCAGCGATAAAATAGACTAAAATCAATTTAGGTATGACCTGAGGAGGAAGTAATTTTATAGTTCAAAATAGGAAGCAAATCAGCACTGTCTAAAGAAATAGCGTATTATTTGTATTATATAAAGCCGCAAAGGTGATTACTTCAATTAAATGCAAGCCTTCCAAATTATCACAAAAATATACATAATTGACACATTGAAAAACTAAAAGGCACTAGAACAATAAAAACATGACATGTATGCTCACGGCAAAATTAAGATAGAATATTCCTGACATTTAAGTAAGCATAAGAGGCTCAACTCCTTTACTGAAAAAAGACCCCCTGGTTTGTTTACAAAAGAAACTCAACAATTAGCTGCATAATGGAAGTGAATTTTTTTCCTCAGAAAGGTTGAAAAGAAAGGAATACACAATTTTTTTTGTTTTAAAGATTTATTTATTTATTCATACAGAACTGGGTGGGATTCAGGCCAGAGATGTGGAGGGTGAGAGGCTTCACCAGGGACAGAGCTGGGAGCAGAACAGGCAGATGGACGAAGTCCACTGCTGAGGGGAGCAGTGGGCGGGTCAGGAGAGGTCTGCCGCGCCCTGTGGTCACCTCCGGGGCAGGCGGGATCGAACTCTTGCTGAAGCTGAAGCTAAAGCTTCTTAGTGCTGTGCTTTAACCTGCTGCGCCACCAGGGAGGGCTGAATGCACAAATTTACTGGGCAAGCACAGAAGCATACCAAGAGCTATAGTCTGATGAGACAAAGTGGAATTTATGAGAAAATGCATCACAGAAAGACGATCCTAGATAACAGAGTTTCCAAAGGATTGGGAAAGAAGTGGAAATGTACTAATTTTATCGTCACTCAGGGAGTAAGAAACTATGCAAGTGAAAGCAATAAACAGTTAAAGGTAAGAGCTGGGAGGATACACCTCCTGATTCACCGCTCCAAGTTTGATCGTAGAAATACTGAGCGATCTAACGCCGAACAAGGGGACACGTAACATGGGGTGTCTGCAATCAAGGGTGACCGAACCCGCAAAAATGGGCAGAGGGAGCTTGTATGGAGGAGGGAAGTCTAAACAGACCTGGAGATGCACAGGCCGCAGAATCACACATGGCTGCTGATGGCGGGAGAGGATGCGTGAACCCGAGCAAGCAGGCAGCGTGCTTGACCAGGCCCGTGGCCAGCTGTCCTTCGCTGATGGTCCGCTACTGGGCTGCCTCCGTGGTGACTTGCTGTAGCGGTCACAGCTCTGAGGGAAATGTGCTTTATGGTGAAGGATGTAAGAAGCGTCAGATGGAGGGGGCCGGCGTGAGGCTGGGGAGTGCCCCACACAGCAGCTTCCGTCCCTGTGGACTCGGGGTGCGCCACCCTCCTGGCACATGGGTGTGTTCCCCGGCCCCCGGCCCCCCGCGGTTGAGGGGCGTTAGGCAGGCAGGACTGACCGATCACTGGCCGCTGGCGTCTGGGTCCTGGCCAGCCGGCCCCTGCCTGGGGGGTGCTGCTCTCTGCACCGCTGACCTTGGCGGGGTCCCGGAGGTCCCCTCTCTGCTCTCCGCTCCCGCAGGAGCCTGGGGCTGATGGTGTGCTCCTCCCTGTGTGACGTGGGCGGCGTCATCGCCCCCTTCCTGGTCTTCCGGCTGATGGACGTCTGGCAGGGCCTGCCGCTCATTCTGTTCGGTAAGACAGCAGCGCTTCTCCTCACCGTGTGAGCGCCCCCAACCCCTGAGCTCGCAGGGGGCGAGGGAGGGGCCCGCACCCCGCTGCCCTGCCCCGTCCTGCCCCGTCCGGGAAAGCAGGCGGAAGCTCAGCCCGGGCTCTGTCCCCAGCCGTCTGTCCGCCTGCAGGGCAGGGCCACCCAGATTCCTGCTTTCCCGCGAACTTGACCCGGGCGCTCATGCATTTCCCCTGTCCGAGGCTGGGGCTTGGCGGCCGCAGTTACCGGCCTTCTCCTGCTTCCCGATTTCAGCAAATGAGAACAGACGCGGGAGACCCAGGGGATCAAAGTGTAGCACCCGCTTTGTTACTGATGAAAGTGATTAGAGAAGGGTGAGCGTCCCTACTTCTCTCCTGTGCACCCCGTGTACAGACGGCTGTACGCCAGGGCCACGGTGCGCCCCACCCTGCCGGGGAGTGACCCCGGGGCGCCGCAGACCTGCCCTGTCTCCCTGCAGGGATGTCGGTCCATCCGCCTGCTCTGCTCCCCACTCTGTCTCTGGGGAGTCCTCTCCTGCCCCTCCACCCGCCTGCACCCCAGCTCTTCTACTCTAAATAAGACTAAAAACAAAAAAGGGGGAGGAGAGAGAAGCGGAGGCCCCACGCCCCACACGATACCGGCTGCTCCTGGCCTGTGACGTGGGGTGCAGCGACTCGGGGCCCGCAGGTCCCCGGAAGCGGCCGGCGCACTCGAAACGCTCGTGAGCGTGAGGCGGAGCAGCGGCCGCCAGGGCGGTGCGTGTGCCTGCACGTGCCGGGCTGTTGTAGGTGCTGTGTGAGCCCTGTTTGCCCACATTATTCCGCGAAGTGTAGCCATTAGTCCAGAATGACCTCTGCAGGATTTCTGGGGGGCCTCCCGCGCCCCTGCCCAGCTGAGCCGTGGGGAGGGGGCGGGTCAGCTCCCTTTGCTGCCGCCTCCAGCTCAGACTGTTGCCTGAGTGGTGGTTTCTGGGTGTCGCTGGCTTTTTCGAGGTGTCTCCACTGACCTCACCTGGACCTCCCTGGGGGTGCCGGCTCGCGGCTTCCCCCGGCCTCTGCTTGTTTGCAGGGGTGCTGGGCCTGGTTGCCGGGGGTGTGACGCCGCTGCTGCCCGAGACCAAGGGGGTGACTCTGCCAGAGACCATTGAGGACGCCGAGAGCCTCGGGAGGTGAGGGGGGCTGGCCAGCCCTGCCCCCACACCCCAACTCTCCCTGCTCCCCCTCGGGGCGCTGAGAGGCCTGGCGTCTTCCTTATCCCTAGCGGAGAGCGGCAGAAGCCGGTGCTGCTGATTTGTGGGGGGACGGAGGTGCAGGCAGGCGTTTGGGGCGGCCTGCTGCTCAGTGCTGAGGCTCGGGGGTCTCTGTCCGGGGGTCAGCTGCTGACTGGACGAGTCCCGAGCTGTCTGGGGACACTTTAAACCAAGTCCTTTTAGCTGCTTCAGAAGCTCTAGAGATTTTCGAGATTTTTCTTCCCAAAGAAGAAATGACGTGAGCACGTTAAGGAGCCGGCTCTCCTCGGAGGGTGGCGAAGAGGCTGGGGGGGGCGGGGGCGGCCCTGGGAAGTGCCAGAGCAGCCTGCGGCGCCCAAAGCCCTGGGCTCAGACTGGGGTCAGCCAACGCAAGCAGAGCCCAGAAGCTTGTCTGGGCGCCAAACAACGGGGCCACAGAGGGAGCCGGGGTGCAGGGGTCACAGGGAGCCGGGGTGC